ATCATTTGTTCGCAGGAGCACGACAACGCGAGCGTTGAAGATTATACGTCCGTTACTTTTATATATATATATATATATATATAAATTATCCGTGACGAAAAGTCTGTTGTTAATTAATGAGTCTTTAACTTGCTCATATTATTGTTGAAGACATTTTGATTTTCCGGCTATGATCCGATCCAGCTTTAATAATTGTCACGTTTGAATTTTAATGCGAAAAAAGTCGAGACCAAAAAGATTCTGTGAATCTTGCGAAGAATAGATTCTTGTAATCAGTTCAATAAAATCCATGCGACTAGGTTTGATTTCAATTCCCGGGGAAAAAATTATAACCCTAACTAATCTGATTTATCGCTTGAAAAATAATACCTATTATGAAAGTAAATTTATTACAGTGAATCCCACCAAAATTTAATATTGGATTTATTACATTATTGGATTCGAGAGGCAAAAATGATTATTATCATTATTATCATAATAAATTTATAAAAAGAATTAACTATATTGATTTTGTATTGATTAATTTGATTTATTAGAAATTCTTTCTTTAATTTTGTATTAACTGATCCAACTCTATCCATAATCAAATTCGATAATCCAACTGATAAGTTTAATTTTGCAAATAATGAATTATTCATACAAGGTACGACTTCAATTTATAATTTATACTTGCTCTTGATGGTAATTTGCAGGCCAAATATTTGCTGAAGCGCTTTTTTGTTTTTTCTGTAAGATCTATATCGTCTTCTTTTATATCAAGTAAACAAGTAAAAATTCTAAAGAGTATTTTATTCTGGAAAAGCTTGTTCTTTTTTAAGGGTACATAAGAAGTTTAGAGTCTAATCCTCGTTATTTTGGTATTGTAATAATAAATCAATTCCACAATTAACGCTTTTTTTTCTTAACTTACTCCGCAGTTAGTTCAGCAGTGTGGTTTTTGATGACTATCATTACATTCCCGTTCTATCCAACAGAAACTTGTACCCGGCGTTCAACGAGATCGTTACGATACTTCTGCTTTATCATATGTTTCGTCAATTTATCAAAGGAAGTAAAAAGACCTCTAAGCGAAGGCAAGTATGTGGGTTAGTTTAAGATCTGCCCAGCATTGACTCGACACGGATCAATCTAAACATAAGTCAGCTCTTGGCTGAAATTAACAAGTAATGCCAGCACATTAATACTAATTGATGCGGACATCAAGTCCCAAACATAAAAAAAGCTGGAAACATGGACGCGAAGCAACAGTATATATTACTTAAAATAGCCCGATTCTGTTTATGCATGTATCACACGACCATTCACGTGACCAATCTTAATAACGCGAATCATGCAGCAAAAAATTTTTCCCACCCTCGAGGTTTCTTTTGATTCTCGTTACGTCGTAAAAAATGTCTTCCTTCGAAAGAAGTAAACCATCAAATTTCAAACAAAATCGAAACTGGGGAATAAGAAATAATGCTGTTGATAAGCGTGATAGCAAAAATATTAGTAATAAATTCCAAAAGAAAGCAGTAGCACCTAACATCCGTAAAGATTTCAATAATAATAACGAAAATTTTAAACATAAAAAGTTTAATAGTAATAGTAACATAAATGACCATAAGAATTATAACGAAACTCAAAACAAAAAGTTAATTCAAAGCATCAAAGAGGCGGACTCGCATGAAAAAGATATACTTTCTACGGGTAGCGATAAAAAAGTTTTGTATAGTTTGAATAGGTTGTGCGGCGGGTACCTCTGTAAATACCCAAGTGTTTATTCAAAGAATTCAAAGTAAGCTTATTTTTTATATATTAATGATATGGATTATAAGAAACTAATCAATTATTGTTAAATTTTGTTTTCAAATAGGTATTTGATCTGTTCCAATGAAAACACAATCAAAGTATATACTTTGACAACGGGGGATTGTGTGAAAACGTTATCCGTGGTGCCACAGTGTGGTGGGCATACAAACGAAATTACCTCCCTTGCTATCGATCCAAATGATCCGTCGTTGGTACGAGGAAGTAATCTTTGCCTTTGAATTTTTTTATTTTTTGTTTCGTTTTTGTATTAACCTGTTTTTATTATTTAACAGCTATATTCTTCATCGTTGGACGGGACAATTAAAATATGGAATCTTGACAAAGCAGTATTGTTGGAGGTATTTTACTAATCATCAATTAATATGAGTATTCGAGTGAAATGGATTAATGAATGAATTAATGATTGTTATTACAATTATTAGACTTTGGATTTAAAATGTCCGATATATCACATGATGGTGGATCCTAAACATTCAAAAGATATTTATATATTCACGGAAATAAGTTCTTTTGATTCGGTTTCGTTGAACTTAAACTTATTTGACGATTGTAACTTGAATTTCCTTTTATTGTTAATAATCAAAAGAGATACTTTTTAATAATTGCGATTATTATTGTTTAGCGGAAGATGACAAAGACGATTCGCAAAATTACAAAAGTAATCATTTATTGCGCATACACCGAGTAAATAATGAAGGAGGACAATTCGAATTGACCAAGATTCTTTCCTTGTCGTCTCGAATTTCCACTTCTGCTATTGGTGTCGATGGAAAATATTTGGTCGTAGCTTGTGGGCGTAATTATCAAGTTGTTAACTTGGAGATTGCGCGAAAAGATTTGCGTCCTGTTGAATGGCCAAAGTAAGTTAATGACTCGTAACAATATTAATATGAATGTAATTTATGATATATACATATATCGTTGACCTATTTTGTATAGTCACTTTCATTCAAGAAGAATTACTTCTATCGCAATCAACTCATCACGCCCTTGCGTGGCTATTGGGGATGAATTAGGGATGATCACATTCTCGTAAGGGTATTCGAGTTGCTTTTATGGTTTAATTTTTTCTATTTTCTACACATACATATCCTAATTAGAACGTAAGAATTGACTGTTTTGACATTGTTGTTTGTTTTTGCTATTCTTTTTTAGGTATTGTTTGAACGAAAGGAGACCAAAGTTTACTAAAGCTCTGACTCATTGGCACGCTCATGGAGTAACTTGTATGGCATTTACAAACGATGGTAAGAACTAATCATCTTCATAATATCCAATTATTAATTCAAATATATATTATTCGCTAAATTTAAAAAAAAAACTTTTTATATCCCAGGTGCTTATTTACTCTCAGGCGGTGAAGAGTCAGTCTTAGTGTTCTGGCAAGTAGAAACAGGCCAACGACAATATGTACCACGACTCGGTGGTGCAGAAATCACTTTTATCACGATTAGTCCCAATCAAACTATCATTGCTGTTGGATTGGGGGATAATACGATCAAAGTGTTGTCTATGAATCGTGAGCTAAGGCAAGTGATTCATGGGCTAAAGTATGGTATGTATGATTCATATTTTAATAAGCTGCTGTATTATTGAGAATCTATCTTATGTAATTGGTTGCTATACACAACACATGATAGTTCCAAAAAATGTCTCAAAGAACCCACTTACGGCCGGCTTAATAGTTGAGCCTAGAAACCAACATATAGTATTGCCCGCTTCCCCGGGCAATCTTCAATGGTACGACGCGCATAACAGTCGACATATAATGGAACATGAAGTTTCATTAAGGACTTTAGTCTCGAGAACCGATGAGGCTGAAATTACGATGCCGCATGTTGACTATGTGGCGTTTTCTGAGTATGGCGATTGGATGGTTACGGTATATTAGTTTATCGATTTATAGTAATCTTATGTTTATGATTCATTTTTTATAAACATAATAAATAATATTTAGGTGGACTCTCGAAACGATAAAAAAACAACGCCAGACATTTATCTAAAATTCTGGGAATTCTCTGATCATGCAAAAAGTTATGTGTTAAACACTCTTGTCGATCATCCTCACAATGACTGTTTCATAACGTCCGTTGCATTCCGTCCTACGTCGAGGAAGAAAAATAATGAAAATGATGACGAGAATGATGATGATTTGTCTCCAATGCCTCCGATGGTTGTTACTACTGGATTGGACAAAAATTTCAGAATCTGGGAATTGGAAAGGAAATCTAAAGTTGCTAAACCTGCTAGTAATACTACCACTACTAATGATAACAATAAAAGCAACACCAAAAACAAAGATGAAGGCATACCTAAACAGTGTAAGTTTGAGCTTAAGTTTTATCAATTCTTTCATTAGAAATTTTTTATAATTGATTTTTTATTATTAATAACGATAACAGCAGCATATAATTGGGTATGCACATTCGTCGGCTCATACCGCCAAGAAACTCCCCAAAAAGCCATATTCTCAGAAGACGGATCCGTATTAGCAATTGCATTAGGGCCGTTCATCACATTATGGGATCCTATATTAAATGAATTCCATGGCGAATTGAGTCATGTTCCATTGACTTTGACTATCAAAAATTTGATGTTCTTGTCCCAGTCATCACCGTATTTGGTGTCGACTACCAAGGATTATCTGTATTTGTGGGACCTGGAGTCGTTTTCAAGTATGGCATTGTTTCTATAAATTTGGATATAATATTTATTAAGCTGAAATTCAACTGTGATTGCTGATTTTTGATCTTTCTTGTTGTAGTAAGATGGCAGTATAGAATTCATGTACCATATATGTCTGCTGATAAGAAGTCATCAAAATTTGCTGTCGCGGCTATTTGCAATAACAGTAAGAAAAATTTGGCGTTAATCATTTCTATAATAACTGTCTATACGGAGAAAAAATTTAATATAATTTGCTATATTTAGGCACTTGCGTTTTGGTTTTTGATCCGCAAACAGCAATTCCGCGCTCAATTCGCATAATCGTAGGACCCATATTAGGACTCGTTTATCTACCAAAGAATATCGATAATCATATAGAGCAGGAGTCGAGTATTGTGTTTATGGATGAAGATTGTAGGTTACGTGTTTTGGGACAACGCGTACTAATTGATAGTAATAATAAGAACGACTTGGTAAGTTTGTATTTGGATAAGAGATTTTTTATTGATTGGACATTAATTGATTTTATATATTTCTCGAAAACAGGAAAATATAAGTGATGATAATTTACGATTATCTGATACGGTCGATTGCAAAGCTTTCTTCTCTGATATATTCGGCACATCTTCCTCCTGTCAAACTGTGGACGTTGGTTCTCACATCCCGATTAAATCATTCAATAAAAACATACTTGATGCGTTTAACGCACCCTCACATCTTATACCGCCTGTTAACTCGTTGTTTGATGGGTATATGGAGAGTTTGTTGGTGCCATCTAAACACAAAATTGACGATGAGAAAAATAAAGAAAAGGAAGATAACGGCGAATTATCCGAAAAGGTATTTTTTTAGTCAGGCGCCCATCTAATCGCACCATCAGGAGTATATTTCCTATTTAGCAGATCTCCGCTCTAATACTTATTTAAATATGACTTCTTTTTTTAGATTATAATAGATACACAACAAACCGATGCGAATACTACCACCCCCTTAATCGAAGAACAGCAGCAGCAGCAGCAAGATTCTCAAAACTACTCTCACAAGGAAAACTACTACGACAAAAATTTTGACTACTTGACTGAATTCTTTTTATCACGAATCCAAAACACACCATCAACATTAGAGATTCCTCTATCCAACGACAACACGACTTTGTCTTCTATAGAAGTATCGTCAATGTCGTCTGCCTCGTCGTCGTCATTAGAAACGCCGACACTATCACTATCACTATCACCATCACATTTAAGCAAACCAAGGACATTACCATCACAAATTACCCCAAACGGGGCTAGTGAAAAATCAATAAGTAATAATAGTAAAAAACGAAAGTTGACAGAAAGTCCAAATAATGTGAATGATAATACATCAAAAAATGCAAAGAAACCAAAGAAAATAAAAACTTGATTTACTTTTACATGAAAATTAATACTGTGTGCTAATTTGCATTGTGCATGTAAATCGTTTGATAACTGCGAATACTATTTAGTTATGAGCTTCGTCTATCCACTCCCTACAACCGGCTCCATTTCCTTTGCCGATTATTTACTTGACACAGATAACAAATACCTAAATGATATATCCGAGGCTACGGCTTTGCGTGGACGGGTACGCGCTGTCCTCAAAGAATCTGCAAGAACAGAAGGCCCTAAAGACTACACGAACATTATGAAGGTAAGAATATTCTTGTATGTTTCCTTCAGTCTCTACGTGTTTTGCGAGTCGGTGAAATTCTCTCTTCTCTAAGGTTGTACTTTCTTAGACTGTCGATGACTATTTGCCTTATTTATTCGCAATTGTCGATTGTATAGAAGGTGGTCAGCTGAAACTGAAGAAAGAATTTGGTAGTTAACTTTTTTCGAGTTTTATCTTTTCAAATTCTCTCGCCTATTATTGAACTTTTGCATTTTATCTCTATCAAAGAGGCGTCATGGCGCTGCTCGTTAAGTGATTCTGTGCTAAAGAAGAAACCGCGAGTCATCTGTCGTGATATATATTATGAATTGATTTTCACTCTATTAACATATGGATTCGCGTGCTCGGATTGGGCGTCTAGCATCGTTCAACGACAAGAAAGCGATACGAAATTGAAACAAGTAAATAGAATTTCGTTTTGGTACGAGCATCCTATGCGGTTATTATTTATGATAGTATGTGTGAAGTAAAAATGCTGGTTTTGTTGTTTGTAATGTAGGCGGCTGATTTGTTATGTAGAGCGGCCGGAATATTTGCTTTTATTGCAGAGCAGGTGTGTCCACGCTGGAACAATCCACCCGCTTCAAGACCACCGGATGTACTGATAGAAATGGCTACTTCGATATCAAAGTAAGAATACGTTTTTTTTTTTAATTTTTTAATAATGTCGCATTCTGATTAAAAAATCAAATATTTTTCAGAATTGCACTTGCTGATGCTTCGTCTATTGCAATTCGCAAAGCACTCATGTCACAAACTTCGTCTTCCCTCCTGGCAAAACTTTCTATTGGCGTAGCTGGACATTATGAAAAGGCAAATGGACTTATCAAAAGTTTAAAAGATCCGCAAAAAGTATGCGGCGACTTTCGAAAGTATGTTTCATATGGAGCATTATTTCATCAGGTGAGATTATAAAATTATCATTCGAGTTGCAATGCAAAACCATTGTTCGTTCGTTCATTCATTCATCATTATTTTGATATAGGCGCTAGGCAAGAAATTTTTGGCCAAAGACGCGTATGAGCATCAGTAAGTTTATATTATTAGGAATTCCCGGTGATATTACATAACGAAACGAATGCATGATACACGAATTCTATTTTTTAAAATAGAGAAACGGGTAAAGCAGTAGGATTTATAAGAGATGCTAAGGAAGCACTTCATCAACTTTCGAAATCCAAATCGACTATTATTGCTTCTCGCGCCTCACAAGAACATGCCGAAGTGGTTGGATTGTACACTAATTACGTGAAGACTAACGAGACGGTAAGTAGGAAAAAGCTTCTATTATTCCGCCTGATTTATTCTAATAATAATATCATATACAATTAGATTGCTTTTGAAAATGTTCCCACTAAAGAGGATCTCCAGGCACTAATACCAGGAGGACGTGTCGCATTGGATCTGACAAGATACACACCCCCAGTACCACGTTTTGGGCCTGGTCTAGAAAATATAGATAATAAAGAGGACGATAATTATATACTTAAAGGCAGATATTATTAATTTACAGCTCTTTATGAACAAAAATAATTAATTTAGATAAATAGAATGAATGAATGAATGAATGAATAAATAAATAAATAAGTCATTTAATCTAGACCCAGCCATTGCTTTACTTGTCTTGATTCTACTGCTTCCTCGAAAGCGGGAAAAAGCTATAAAACAATAAATCATTAAAAATATGAAGATATATGAATAAATAAATCGATTGAAAGTTGAGGTGCTTGATCACTTACTCCCACAAACTCGTTATCAACAAAAATTTGAGGTAACCCCTGCGCTCCAAGGTTCCGGCGTTTCATAAACTTTAATTGTTCCTCGTCAGCTGCTACGTCGACAAACTCGAAAGGAATTTTGTTTATGGTGAGCACACTTTCCACCCATTGTTGGTTTTTCTTTGTCTATAGATTATTTAACAATCGGTCAATCACCCACCGATAAATTAAAGAATAATTATGGGAAACAACCCACTTACAAAGATGTTACCAGAAACACTTGAACCGAAAATTTTTACGCGGGTTTTGATGGCTTTATTTGCGGTTGTGGCGCTATCAGAAGGTTTCTCGTCATTAGTATCATTATTAGACATGTTGTTGCAAACTTGTTTTATAAAAAAATCAACCGATTACTATGAAACCTTGTTGTATGCAAAGTAAATAAATGCGGTGTCTATATTTGTACAAGAGATCTGCTTTTATGAAAAGTGCGCGCGATTTGGCCATTGTATTAATTAATATCCAGTTTGGTCGATTCGATCTCGAAACTTTCTGTTATATATGGTAAAGAATGACATTTGGGATTTGTCAGTTTTTGATCTACTAAACTATATATTATGATAGCGTACGTACGTATTCGCTGACGAAATATTTATTCGTTGCTATTTCCTTACATCATATTCTGATAGACTACTTCGGTTCAATGGTTTTTGTCATCATTTCGCATATAAATATATTATATTTGACCAAAGTTTCATATAGTAGCAGTGAATTCCAAACTTGATATTACTACACGCACTTCCACCTTGAGCATCTCCAACATGGCAACTACCACTACTGCAAATGACAACACAGACACTTCTATACTTGCACAACACACGGAAACTACCACCATTGCAAATAACGACCCAAACAGTTCTCTATTTACACAAGAAGTTGTGCAAGTTCAAATTCCACCAGCGCCTTCTCCAAACCTACGATTCGCCTCATTACGACACTGGTTTTCGTATAGTGAAAAAACATCAGAAATGGCCGAGGCTCGTCTCCTGGGAAGACTTCAGTTTTTCTCCATGGAAGGACGCACAGTTGCATCGCCTGAGCAATCCAAGACAATTGCTCGTGTAGGTCAAGTTGATCTAGATGGTGATGGTAAACGCAAGATTAATACACTCGTTATTGATCAGAAGGGCAACGATTTTGTCATTGAAAATGGCGTTGTGGGTGCCGAACTCGCAAAAGATAACGACGGTTCTGGTTACTCGTCATCTTCTTCATCAAAATCTCAAATCGTGGATGAAGCTCTTGGATTCACTAGTATACCACAAACCGATTTGGAGGTTAAATCACACACTGATAATATAAGCGAAGACAATCAATCCTCGAAAAATCTTAAACATCTTGTAATGTGTCACGGATTTGGTGCTGGGTTAGGATTCTTCTACAGAAATTATCATGGTCTTAGTCAAGTACCTGGATGGAGGATTTATAGTATTGATTGGTTAGGAATGGGCCGAAGTTCTCGACCAAGATTCAATATCATTGCTAATTCATTAGATGAATCTGTTGAACAGGCGGAAAATTTTTTCGTTGACTCGTTAGAGAAATGGCGAGAGATTCATAAAATTGAAAAGATGACATTACTAGGTCATAGTCTCGGCGGATATTTTTCTGCTGTCTACGCGTTGAAATATCCGAAACGTGTCGAACGTTTGCTTCTGGTGTCGCCCGTCGGAATTCCGATAAATCCTTATAAAGATAAGAATTCGGAAATAAAAACTCCTGGCGGTCGTCGGGTTCCCGGTTGGATCGTGAGATTATGGAATGCTAATATAACGCCTCAGTCGGTTCTCCGATGGACGGGTCCATTTGGACCATCACTTGTCTCACGTTATACATCACAAAGATTCGCGTATCTAGAGGAACAAGACCGTATTGATTTGCATGACTATATTTATCATATTTCTTTAGCGCCTGGGAGTGGCGAATATGCTCTCTCAAAAATCTTGGCGCCTGGTGCGTTCGCGCGAAAACCATTAATTCACCGATTGAGTCAATTAAAAATGCCAACCACATTTTTATGTATGTATTTATTTATCATAAATATAATAAATTTATATTTAATAATTGAATTTATACTTAATTCTAAAATAGATGGAGAAAATGACTGGATGGATTATCGCGCCGCCGAAGAAGCAGCAACCACTATGAGCGTGCCAACAAAAGTAATACGGATTCCGAGAGCTGGACATCATCTATATTTAGATAATCCGCCGGTAAGATTTCCTAAATAAATTTAATAAATCTATAACGATAATGTCTAAATACTTATATGGAATGGTTTCCAGGATTTCGATAAGGCGGTCGTGGCAGAAATGTTAGTTTGATGATGATGGGAATAAATATTGTTTTATGCTACCATGTGTTGATTTGTGAGAATATCATAATCAGAAAAAAAGTTTTTAAACAGTTGTAACAATTCCCTTTTATGTTTGATTTCGATATAAAGGGAAGTTCACACGGCTGGCTAGTTGATTATTTATCGTTATTATTTATTCCTTGATGACCCAATGATTCTGGGCAAGGGGGATAAATGCTATTACTAGGAGTATTGTTTAGTTAGACCTTTTTCTTTGCAATATAATGTTTATACCAATATGTAACATATCGATATATGCGATACTGCGAAGTATTAGATGTGCAAAATCCGGCCGGAGTTTATGTACACTGTAACCACACATTATTACGTTTTTTGTAAGACTTCTGTTAATCTTTGCATCCAAAAAAAAAAGAACTGCGTTTTGGCACGCGGATATAGATCTCATGATCCTCGGAATGCAAGTCATGCGTTCGCTAATAAAGTATTGTAGTTTTTAAACTATTCAATTATCTAACGCTAATACTTTATTTCTATTGCTGATCTCAAAATGTCTAGCCGAAAAATTCAACAATGAACTATGACTCGCTTCATTCATTCATTCTTTTTCTTTGCTCCATTACCTTGTTTTCATAAACCGCGTCGGAAAGATGATATCGATATGTATTATATGTCAACGTCAATGCCAATATAAATCATATTGTCCAATGCCAATGTAAATCGTATTGTATCTTGCGTCAGTTTCTTGATCACATAAGATAATAAAGTTATAAAATACCGTGTATAATCCTATACAATACTGCGTGTCATACTTTCAGTGAGTTAATTAGTCAAGAAAATAAAAATACCACAACAAATTTAAGTGCCAGTTAACATTTTTCGTTGCTGTTTGTTTCACATTCATCATCATTTTCTTCTCTTATTATTGTATCGCATTTTTATTTTATTCTATATATATATATACATACATATATTTCGTATATATTTCGTTTGCCTGTATACTCCATATTAATATTTAGTTTCGCGAGAGTGTGTCAATGTAGGTCTAGCTCCGTAAGCTTTTTTTAAATTCGTCTCTTTCCATTTCCCGATTTTACCCAAAAGGGCAAACTTGATGCCGCATGTACACGCACACAACTCCCTCGTCTTCTCCCGCCCATTTTTCAGTCACTCCACCAAAACAACAACCACCACCACCATTTGCTCAACAACAAAGACAACCGCAGCCAGCTGCTTCTTCCTCCTCGCCATATTATGTGCAAAATTTGAATCCGACCATTGATCAACCACAGGTGCCTCTGCCTCCTCTTCCACCCCTAAATCCCATTCCTATTCCGAATACTACTCGCACCGTGAAAAGTACAAAGGCAGAAAAGGCGGATCAACTTGTTCAGGTTGCTAGCATTGTTTGATGTTTATAAATCTACAGAATGTCCCTGCGCGATGTGGTTAACAATACAATTTTTTCCTTGGAATAAAACAGAATTTTTATAGTAAAGTCGCGCAAATCGTGACCCAGTCACGTCTCATACAATATGACAGTCTCACGAGTTTTAATAAAGGAGCCTCTCCTTCGCGGCATGCTAACACACTAACTACCAAGAAGGTCAATAAATGGGTAAGCTTATATATATATTTCTGCAAAATAATCAACGATTTTGACTTAATGCTCTTTTACGTGGATAATTATTGACTATAGAACAATAATAATAGTTTAATTTAGAGTTGGACGATTCAAATATTTACAAGGAAGATATCAAGTTCTGGCATCAAGCGGTTACTACATCTGCTACACCACCACCACCGATGATAATAGAGTTCTTTCTCGATACGCGAGAATTAGCTCAAAATCAAATTCTTATTTTGACTGACGAGAATCTTCGTCGGCATAAGGTCGACCTACAAAATCTCTCAAGACTAAGTGGAAATAATAATCACAAAAATGGCAAGACAGCAAGGTCATCAGCAACAACAACAAAAAATATCATGTTGGAAAGTTGGCAATTGACATTAAGGTAGAATTACTTATATTCTGATAAAGTTTGTATATATAAAAAGAAATATGTTTCTGATTATTCCTGAATCAACAAAAACAATCTTGCCCATCACCTTACCTTATTTATTTTATATGCAGTAATTCAACGCTAGAGTTTCCTCCTGAAGTTCCTATTACATACAAGAAATCAATTGCATTCTTCCGATCGCTCTATAATTTTGTTCGTCTTCTGCCTGCGTATCGACTGTTCAAAAGACTCAGAAGAATGAAATTGAAAGTTGGCCATCGAATAATAGTGCCAACAGGAAACATAAACGCCGATATTGGTCTAGGTGACTTTTCTTTCAAAAATCCTTAGCATTACCATGATTTAAGAAGCCCCCGCTAAATTTATTTCTTAATTCCGAATCACCTACCCACGCATTATGAAAGATGTTCCAATAATAAACGGGGAGACTACAAAGACCGCTAGAAGTTATACATTTGATCCTATTGACACGCCTATTGGGTATAAATTGAAAATACATAATCTTAGCATCATTTCCGTATTTCAAAAATTTTCAAGCGTAATAATATATAATGTAATTTTAGGACATTCACTTTGAGTGTCGGATTCCGATCAAATTGTGAATTTCATATCGATGATGACTCTGAAGCAATTCTAAGTTCGAGATTTATTGATATGGATGAAAATTATTTTACGCCGACAATGGCTCGCTATTACCAAGAAGAAGAACGACAAAGACAGTCGGAAAGAGAAGGGTCAGACGGGCGAAGGAAAAATTCTCCATCGAATAATTATCAGCAGATTGTAAGAATTCTAAGATAAATTCGAAGTTATTAAAATCAAATCTAAATTCTAATTGACAAATTAACTTGTTACCCAGGGGATTTCTCCAAATGTTCGATCAAGTTCAACGTCACCTCAAATTGCCAATAATAACAACAATGTCCAATTATTATCTGGAACTCCTCCAACGCGTTCACGTGTGCCTTCCATATCACAGAACGAAAATGATTTATCAAATCAGGTTGCTATTTTCCCAAGATCCTCTTCCTCTTCCTCCTCTTCCATATCGAGTCATCATAGACGTCATCCAAGCACGGTTGATCAAGATCGTAATATAAATATACTATCAATGAGTCAATTGTCATATCGTAGTGCGGTAAGAAATATATTATCATTGCTACTGATGTCTTTATTCAATTGAGTGATGTATCTAAATTTTGAATCTCCCAATAGCGAGACACCCTGCAACCTCCTCCCTCTCCTGTGATGAGCAATCGTCCAAATGTCACCTTAGTCTCACCCTTCAAATCTCCTTCATTATCCTCGTCTCCTACATATCTTCTCACTGATAACTATCCATCGTCTATATATTCTGATCGTGCTTCTTCATCTCCTCTTCATCGATCACCATCTTCTATTTCACTTCAACGATATGCTTATGCTTCTTCTCCAACATCGGCAAGATCATTACCTATCGGAAGTGGAAACATGTTATCATCATCACTTAAATCAAATTTTTCGAGTGGTAGCCCAAGTACCAGTACCTTCCCGAAAAAGTTCTCTACAAGTTTCGGTTATCGATATGAAAAACCAGGTGGTAATAATAATAATAATAATCATAATAATCATAATAATAATAATAATTCAGTTAGTCGTGAAAAAGATTGGAATATTGGAGGTCGACGGGCTTCCAAAGGTAGTTCATTGACTAATCGAAGCGATGATACGGCAAGTGATCGAGGCTCGTATAACTCTGTGAGTAAAAAATTTTCCTTGGGTTAACTGAAATAAAATATATTAAATAATTAATTCATTATTGTTATTAAATATATAAAGTCATTTTTCGCTTTTATCGATAATGATGTTGGTGATTTTGTGAGAATGGTGGATGCTCGAGAGCCATTGAAATTATATGGAAGAAGTCCCGCCAAATCAGATGATCCCGGAAGTCCTGGTCAAAAGATTCCTGGATCTGTATATAAATCTAAGGTAGAATAAAAATCTCAAAATTTTATTAAGAAGTTTAAAATTTATTAAAATTATCATTATTTTTAGTTGGCATTGACAAAATACCAACAACTTAAGGATTTCAGCATACTTGCGGAACCATTAGCAAATAGTCACCAAAATCTTGGACCTCCTGATATAAGCGGATCTCTTGCATCTTCTGTTTCATCAAATTCAACGACAGCATCGGTTGCGCGTCAGCAAAACGTCGCATCCAGGGTTTGTGAAAATGTTAAAAGTGAAGATTTAATTGAACCTCAAGGACCAAAACCAATGACTATACCTCAGAGAGGCATGTCATCTGAATCTCGTGCAAATTACCGAACTAGAAGAAGTAGCAGTTTAACGTCTGTTGGAAGTGGCAGTCGTATTCCGGCAGGAATGGTTATGCAACCTGATGGGGCATATTCTTCGTATCCAGAAGATATCGGTGAACTCCGTAGACAAGGTTCAAGTTCATCACTAGCATCTTTGCACAGACAATATCATTACCATCATCAGCATCCACATCAACAACAACGCTTAATTCGAGAAGATTTAAGTCCTGAATCTGGAGAATCGATGTTGAAACGGGCAGGCATTGGTGACGTTCAAGGGAGTGGTAGTACTGGAAGCTTGAATATTGGTGCATTAACGGCAATTAGTGGCCGTGGTGCTTTAATAGAGAGAAATACTAGAAGAGATTCGGGAGGGTCAATTGGATCTGGAGGTTTGATTCGATTAAAGAAAACAGCTTCCGTGGATGACGATGAATTGTTTTTTGCTATGAGCGAAATAACCACCGATGATCGAAGTAGCAGTGGGGTAGGAAGAGGTCACAGTCCGAGTCCTAGTATTGGATCTGGAGTTAGTGGTAGTGTAGAAGGTCGCAACAATAAAAGTGGTGGTTTGGGTTTAGGAGTGGTTGGTCTTGAAAGGGAACAACATCAGCAGCAGCAAGAAAGACAAGAATCATTATAGGTATTATCGAAAAAAATTTACACAAAAAAGGTGGGACAACAACTTCACTCTATTAATATTAATAATATTGATAAATATTATCAATTGGAAGAGAACATTTGGTTTTTTTATTATTACTATCATTTATTGTTTTATCATCAACAAAGAGATTGTTAATCATTCGAATTCTTATTGCAAAAAAAAAACTTTTTTTTGTCTCCTGCATCTCTTGCACATTTTTTTTATCTATGAACAATAAGTTGGTGTGATTTTCGGATTCATTTAGTATTTGTTTATTTCCTCTAGAAAAAAATATTGAAAACACTGTATTTGTAATTCCCTTTTTTATTATACATGACTCCACATCTAAATAAATTGGATCTGGATTGGTATATATTAATTAATCGCGATGATTGTAAGTCATAAAATGAATAATCACGGCTGTCATCTTTCTCGCAAGATAATTTGTAACTTGAATTATGATATGATAAACCAAAATTGATGCATTAATTCGTGAATTTAGAAGAACCTTTTGTGCACGCATAACCCCCTTTTTTATTAATAATTTTCCCGTCATAAATTATAATTTGTGCAAAAATATTGACGTAATTTTTACGTATGTGTTAGTAATTCAAATGAATCTCGATGGAAGCTTATATGGTAAGCCAAATAAAAAGCATAATATTTATTAACTAACGATCAATAGATAAACAGAATAAATATGGTTATGATTTTTCCTTGGAGAAAATCATTGGATTCTTAGATTCGGAATTCATGTCTGGAAACAAAGATCCATGTACAACATATCTGTGTACGCGCGTTATGTATGCGCGTTATGTATACAATGCGGTGATAAAAGTAAATCCAGGAAAAGAAAGAAGTTTAATTAATCTAATTAATTAGTCAACAGCAAAATTTTGTGGTCACTATTATTTTTTTTACCTTTCAAAAGACTATCTATCTCCTCTTCCTTCTTATCCCTCTTTCTCTTTTCCCGCCGTTTCACAAAAATAACCTAAACACCGTAATTTTCTTCACTATATTTATTTTACTCCTCTTTATTCCACCTCACATTTACTCATCGTTTCATTCCTTTCTCTTGCTTCCATTCCGGCATTGGAATCTACTCAAACCTTTGGTATTCCTTATTAAACTCGCATATACATATATTCCTTATAAATATCCCTAAAGCAAAGACCACAAAAAAAGATAAAATCTCAATACTAATTAATACATTACACTCTACAAACACGCAATCAACGTCATCCATACAACAACGCAATCGAAATAGATCAAAACAACATTGATTTAATTGATTAAATGAAATGGAAGAAACGAACAAAAATGAGTCATTATTACTGTCAAAATATTCCAATAATTTACCTGTTCCGAAAATAGCGTTGGGAGCTTCAACTTCTTCAAACAACAACAATAATTACTATTCATCAAGTGGTGGGTGTTTTTACGCGGTGAAACGTAATGTTTGCTTCGTAGGAATCAATAAAATTAACATTTTTTTTCTACGTAGATAATTTCAATAACAATACCAATAATAATACCAATAATAATAATAATAATAACAATGATTTATATGAAATAAAAGTTATCGACGACGAGATAAGAGATACAATATTGATGATGAACCCAAATGCAAAACGCGAATCACAAGTTCCATCACTGGATAAAGTTTTATTGGGAGTATCAGGTGCTCCTTTATCACAATATAATTTCTATTGTTATCTACGAGAACATTGGCAAGCAGAAGATAATCTTAATTTTTGGTTGGATGTTGCAAGTCATGAAAATTTATGGGGAACTTGGCTGGAAAATGAAAAAAGGAAAAAGGAAAGAGAACTTCACTATCAATATTATAATGAGAAGGATGATAGCGACGATAATAATGACAATGACAATGAAAATGACAATGACAATGACAATGATAATGATAATGACAATGACAATGACAATGACAATGATAACGACAATGATAACGACAATGATAACGAAGACGATGACTCGTCATCTGAGGAATTTGAGCCATCACATAATCATAATGATTCTCATTCCAGTGAAGAAAATACTGTTACTCCAACAGATGATTCCCAAATCAATGCGTTATCTTTAAATAATATATCATCAAATATAACAACGGATGAGGATGCATCAGTAGGGCAGCCAGGATATCGAAGACAGATAAACGAAGATGATTTAAACAAATCGGCCAAACAAATATATCGTAAATACGCACAGTTAAACATTTTTCCCGAGGAACACCGAATTACAATGCAAGATTTAATACTACGTCAAGGACGACACAATCCGGTAGTCTTCGCCAGTTCAAAAGCTTACGTCTATCACATAATGAATGTAATTTATTTTCCGAAATTTGTTGAATCCACCATCGATATAAATCTCACACAAATTCATGCGATAATTGCGCTGCCACTCGGAATGGTTTGTCTCACCTTTGGTATCGCATTGGAGTTGTATTATATTTTCATGGCATGGGAAAATCGAATGATTAGGATTTGGGGTTTTTTCCCTCTTTGGTTGGGTTGGGTGCTGTTGCAGACTGCTGTCACGAGATTTTTCCCTCCGTTAATTCTGTTTGGAGTGAGGTGAGAAAAATTGGCTTTTTTATCTTATTTATATTGTAAACTGTATTGATACTAAACAATATTTATTCTCACTATAGTGAACACAAATTATTTCGATTTCACAGAATAAAAGAAAGAGCAATACTAAAAGCACATCGAGCACGTGCTCTTCGATTCATTTTCTATGATACTCTAGTGGCACTTATAAGTATTGCAATATTAATAGCAGCGCCTCCAATTCCTCTAAGTAGCCCTTCATAATAAAATGATGATGTATAAAGATAAAATATATGTAAATTTTGGGATGAAGGATGGGACAATTAAAAAATCACTTCAAAAAATATTTCTCTGTTTATTAATGTAGAAAATTCAATAAATAATTGATTGTTTTTGATTTGGGAAATTCGTATAGCAGAATTAGATCAACAACCCAGAATCGATGACTGGTTCATTGGTACAATAATATTACTATAAAACTGATTTCATACATCAAAAGTATTAGAGCGTGAATTATTTAAATTATTTATTATAATAAAATACAATAATATCTTTGTTCAACCAATTGTTTTTCTGAGATAAAGAAAATGGAGATTTATAAATAGAATGCAAGCAACTATCAAATAATACACCGAGTGTCTGATTTCTTTTTTTTTTGATTTTTTGTAATACTAAAATTACACGTATATATATCGTTAATATATATATATATGAGAGTGTATTATATAGTGGGATGGGTGGGGACGTGCGAGGAAAACATTGGTGTGCTATGCCAAAGTCCAATTAAATATTTAAAAGCTTTTCTTGTGTATAATGTCCGGATCGTCTTGATATTCTTCAGCGGAGACCCACATCTAGATAGATTTTTCAATTAAAAAAAATTAAACAGATTATAAAAAGAAAGAGATCAATTATATCGAACCTTTTTGAAAGTGCTTAATGCAGCCAATATAGAACCACCAATCCACGTGCTATACTTTCTTTCAGGTGGTGCATATATTTTGATTTTGATATCTTTGACAGCTAATTTTTTTAGTTCATTTAACAATCGTGTTCCAAAATCTTTTTTTGTTTGAAGAAAATAACATCGATCATATTAGGTTAATTTCATAACAAATGATTTAATAGAAGAATCAATAAAAATTACCTTTATAGAGTGTTGACCCGCCCGATAACACTACATTATTGTACAACGCCTTTCGTAAATCAAGATCGGCTCTATGAACCGAATCAACCACAAGTTGGTGGATGCCAGGATACTCTTGGCCAATCAGATCGGGATTGAACAAAATTTCTGGTGCTCGGAACCGTTCAGTTCCCAACTATTATTAGTATTTGGTGTTAGTATAATTATGATAAAGAATTTTAACACACAAATATCTAATTCAATACTCTAAAACGTACTTTGACAACATGTCCGTCAGGAAGAGGATACTCTTCTGTTTTTCCAGCATTATCTTTTTCCTCTTTGGTAGGACTTAGCGCGATGTAACACACTTTCTCTTTGATCATTCGTACTACTTCTTTTTCGGCTGTTGTGTGAAAATGGTAACCGGCTTTTCGAAGCAGTAGTTGCAGATTTTCTGTTACATCTCTTAATAAAAGTATAACGGTTGGTAAATTTCAAAGAATAGAAAAATCACCCATGTTAATTGAATTACCGTCCAGCAATGTCTACTCGACGCATTGCATGACGAAGTGCAAATCCTTCGTACACGGGAACTGCATGTGTCACACCATCTCCGGAATCCAAGACAATCCCAGTAGTTCGACCAGAAGAATATCTATCAATACATTTAATTAATTAAATTATATATTCATTATGAAAGACGGAATTAAATATTATATCGATGAATTATTATTTTTTTTTGGTGGAGAAAATAGGAAAATGCTTACAAACTTAAGACTGCTTGCACAGATGTGAACAATGCTGGTACATTAAATGTTTCAAAAAACATTTGAGCCGCTTGTTCTCGATTAGCTCGTGGATTGAGTGGAGCCTCGGTAAGGAGGACGGGATGCTATTATTTATATTGTATATGAATAAGTTATGATTAATCATTATTATCTGATAAATTTGTCATTATAATATTTCTAATTCTCTTAGAACAACACGTGACATACACGAAAATCTGAACAAAATTTCTCATAATTCAGCAATCTCATGACTCAAAATCAAAAATTTAATACCTCTTCAGAAGCAGTTTTCAATTCTTCTTCATAAATATATTTCCATATACGTTCCATATCATCCCAATCGGTCACCACACCATGTTCGACCGGGTATTTGATTTTTAATAGACCACGTAATTCTTGAGCTTTACGTCCAATAAATACGTCTCCCTCAACAGCACCAGCCATAACGCGAACATGTTTAGGCCGACCAACACTAATCAATACGAAACGGAACAAATCATGAATAAGTCTGTAAGAATATAAACTCGGCTTTTTTGTTCGAAAATAAGATATTTTTGCGGATCAACTTACTAGGATTGGAAATAACATTTTGGAACATCATCGCCAGCAAATCCTGCTTTTATAACTCCAGATCCCTATTTTCATTATTATTAAACATTATTGTTATAAATTAGATAAATCAACGTATAATTAAATTATCTAGTAATAGAGAATTTTTAATGGTGATGCGTCTATGTCAATGTAATGTAATATTTTCTCTTCGAAATTGCATAAGAGCGATGCCCCTTATTTTTTACCATATGACACACCACCCATATCCATGCTATATATGAAATATAAAAACAGCATTTTATACGAGTCTTGAATTCTAACGTTCTGCAATGGAGAGGAACTTTGATAAACGTCTTTTAACGTGTATCGTGTACATCAAAAGAAATAGAACTCGAGTTGAATGCGGAATATTTCCGATGCAGAAAACGCTATTAATGTTTAATAATTCGCAAAAAATAAAGGGTAACACGAAAGCTCTTGCGAAATACTAACACCATCAATAACGACAGGTTGATTTGTCAACACGTCTTCATATTCCGAGGACATGACTCAATTATTTCTAATTAGTAGCAGCAGGAAGTAGTCTCAGAAGACATAGTAGGTTACAAGGCCTTTTATGTAAAATCTTGATAATCACCTGACTTCGGGACACAAAACAGGAATGAGTAAAATCTCATGGCGAATTGACGAATATACGGTCTTTTAGGTGGTTTTTCTTAGTAATATTAATTTACATACAGGATCAATTCGGCTACGCTCGTTCATTACTTTTATAGCTGTATCAAATAAACAGATAGAGGAAAAAAAAGAAAGAAAAGATGCCTTCACCACCAAAACCGTGGGAACGATCTACTAATAGCTCTTCGAGACTAACTAATACACAACTTATGGCAGAACCGGCTTCGTTCGATGGAACAACGGCTCCCGCTGTTCCAAACAGACCTTCAACTATGGGCACTAATACAGCAGCACCGGCAATTAATAGAGGTAATTTTGAGTATATTTTTATTCTATATAACATGAGTATCATTTTTCTTTTGAAATAAATTTTGTATACATGATAACTATCAGGGTATAGCACATTTGGTACTGGTGCTTATAATTCAGGATATTCACCGTATAGCGCATATGGAGGAATGAATTCGTACAACTCATACGGTAGTTACAGCCCTTACAATCGATATGGATCATATTCCTCTGGATATTCACCGTATAGTCGTTATAATAGCTACGGAGGTAGTGGCTACGGCAACTACGGATCGTACGGCTCATACGGTGGCTATAACAGATACGGAACAAATTACGGCGCTGGAATGGCGGGTGGTCCTGGCGGGCCTGGCGGACCAGCAAATCCTGATGAGGTTCCATTAACACAACGCATGGAAGCCAGCACATCGGCCGGCTTTCATATGATAGAGTCGGTAGTGAATGCATTTGGCGGGTTCGCATCAATGTTGGAATCGACGTTCTTTGCCACCCATTCGTCGTTTATGGCGATGGTTGGTGTGGTTGAGCAGTTCGGGAATCTACGTAATTACTTGGGTCAGATATTGAGTGTGTTTGCGTTGGTTCGATGGATGCGTAAATTATTTTACAAGGTAACTGGTCGAGCGCCACCCGTCAATCCTAATGAACTGACTCCAGTTCACTTTGAACAATTCCAAGAGTCTCGACGATCTCGTCGACCTTTATTCTTCTTTATACTCGCAATAATCGGTATCCCATATGTGGTGCACAAAATTATTCAAATTCTTTTACGTCGCCATGAAGCAAAACAAGTGATCAATACCGAGATTCCCGCGTCATCACTTCCCAATGAAAATAACGGTCAGATAATTGCACGATCACAAACTTCTGCTACGGTGTCGCCACAAAACCTGGAGTTTTGTCGCACGCTTTACGATTTCCAAGCCGAGTCACCAGCTGAGTTGAGTTTCCCTCGTGGTGAGATTATCGCCATACTTAGTAAGACGGATTCGTGGGGACAACCGTCGGAGTGGTGGCGAGGTCGTGTACGCAATGGAAGTCAAGGAATGTTCCCGTCTAATTATGTGGAGATTATTAATAAAGGAGGTGGAAATCCAGATACTAAGGATGTCAAAACTATTTTACCCTCGAGTAATAATAACGACAATGATAAAGCAGCAGACTTCAGTGTAAAAGAATTTGAAAATAAAATGCTAAAGAAATCTTCTGTACAAATCAATCAATCAATCAATCAATCAATCAAATAAATCTACCAACCAACCATTTATCCAACATCCATACATCCAAAAATCCAACCAAACGTTCAACCATGCATTCATCCAACCCTTTCTATATTTTCAATCTTTATTTCACAACGAAAAAAAGATCATTGGACAGTAATACGTACGGTGAATCAATCGATCGATTGATTGTTGATAATGTTCATAATTACCATCATAATTTAAAAAACGGATCTATCGTTGGTACACTATCTCAGCATAACAACACCTAAGGATCTCTTGATGGCATTTATTTTGATATTATATATTATTGACGATGACAAATAAAATATTGACGATGACAAATAAAAGATATTTCTATCTCTTAACATGCCTATTTTTGTTTTCTGGAAAATTGATCTCCGCCAAAATGAGTCACGGCATGGGGTTCAGATCACATGCTCATATATTTTGTTGAGTTTCACATGCTACACGATGAATTCTTAATCAACACTTCCAAGAAAAGATAATTCTTTGATCACATTTAACATGTGATACATGTCATAAAAACAAGAGATTGGACAACAGACAGTGGTATATCAGAATTGATGTTACTGATATTTTAAAATAATACCCACAGCTCGATTCTTCCTTCACGTGACTTTCCTGACCCGATTTAACTTACCAAGCGTCACCCCGAAAAATGGTAGCCGGATATATTTTCCGGAAGCACGATTTTTATTTGGACGGATTAGGGTTACTTCCTGACATTTAAATTAGTGCTCCAAACTAGATTTAGGCGTATGTTTCCTGTATTTTTCGCATGTTCATCTTGTAATTAAAATATCGTTATTTTATTGGTCGATTACGAAAAACGTGACATTGGATCGCCACCAGAAATTGAAACAGAATTACAGGTGATTAAAATGCCATTATTTTATTGGTTGTTTAAAAAAACGTGATCACTTGAGAAAATTGAAACAAATAATAGCACCATATCTCAAGAAATAAACTAAATCATAACTTAATTCTTTTCTTTTTAAGTTATAACACTTGATATAATATCATTTAAAAGTAAACATCTTAACTTTAATTCTAATTTTGTTAAACCAATTAATGTGATAATTGTTATAATTAAAGAAATCAAATTAGATTAATAATTTTAGTATTATTTAAAAAAAGTGATAACTGAATAGATTATTGATCAATAAGATAGTGCAATCAATAATTTTATTTTTAAGATAAATTTTATTAAATTATTAATTAAATTTTCAAAAAGCTCTAAATAAAAAATTATAAATGTTTAAACTTGATCAATTTGAAACAAATTATATAAATATGATTTTATTAGTTAATATTTATTATAATTCAGATTAATACTATACTAATATTAAATTATTATAGTATTATAATTAAGGATGCTTGCCTAAATTCTTTCAGAAAAATATCGTCATAATTTCGACGGGTTACACACTAATTGTTAATTAGAATTTCGACATAATTTCGGTTATGACGGGTTTCAAAATTCATCAGAATTTTGACAGGTTATTTACTAATAGTTTATTATAATTTCGACAGAATTTAGACAGTCACTAAGGGATTTCGGCAAGCAACCTTAATTATAATAATAAATAATTGTGAAGAATTATAATAAAAAATGAATTATGATAAAAATTTTAGCCAAAATTATACAAATTATACAAATAAAATAGTTTAATTATATTACTTTATTTTTTTAATAAATTACAATTTTTTTCTTAATATTTCTTAACTTAGCATTAATTTTTAACAAAAATTAAGTATATAAGTTTTATATTAATTAAATAAAATTAATATAAATCATCAAAATAATTTAAAATAAATATATTTAGTATTATAATATTTAAAATTTAAATTATTATTAATGTAATTTTATAAAAAATTTTTGATATACAATCAAATTTCTCTATAATTACATCTATTTATAATCATATCTCTTTATAATTATTTTATTTTGCTTTTTTATTTATATATAAATATAGTAAAAAAATACTTTTATAGTCACATTCTCTCTAGTTATCAAATTTTGCTTTCCTGAAAGTGATAATTATAAAGAGTTTTGATAGTATTACAAAAATAATACAAATTATTTACAAATATATTATTATATTTGGAGAAAAGAATATTAATAATTTATATATAATATATTTTGTAATTATATTTTAATATTGTTATGATATGAATATTTAGTTTTTATTTTATTGATTAATTCATATTATAAATTTAATTGGATAATATTCTATTATATTCTATTGGATAGTTATTTTTAGATAGTTATTATTTTATTGAACAATTATATGTTAGATATTATTGGTTTTTAGATTTGTATTAATATTAGAAACACTAGTAATACTAGCAATACTTGTGTTAGTGACAATAATAATAGAACCAGTTATATTGTATAACATGTAATTTATATAAATATATTATATATTTTAACTAGTAATTGAATAAATTCAATAAATTTAATAGTTCTCAAAATCTCAAGAATAATAAATAATTAAAAACATATTGTTACTGTTTCCGTTGATTTATTAATTTTCAAGTATAGATCACGTGTTCTTCACGTGTCTCAATTAAGTGAGAGAGTTATTAAAGGCTTTTATGTGTTTAAATGATTAAGGTTGGGAGAGACTAATTTAATAAAGGTAAGTAACGACGTGTTCGTTTTGTTGAACTGCTAGAATGAGTTCAGAAATCTTCTTTTGATTTAAATAATTTAATTGTTAAGTAATCTTCTTTTATTGATTAACTTTTATTAAAATTATCTTCTTCTTTTATTATAAATC